TGAAGAACTATATTTGAGACTTTTCTTGATTCCCTAGACCCATAGGCATGCCAAAACCCCAAAACAAAACCCATTGCCATCGTATTGATTCCGGTTCATAGCGACTCTATAGGACAGAGTAGAACTGCCTCATAGGGTTTCCTAGGCTGTAATCTTTATGGAAGCAGACTGCTACATCTTTCTCCCACAGAGCGGCTGGTGGGTTTGAACCACTGACTTATATCTCCTAACTAACAAATCTGGAGATTTTTCTCTTTAGCTCTGATTTATACAAGAGGACATTGGTGGTTCAGTGGTAAAATTTTCGCCTTCCATCCAGGAGACCTGAGTTCTCTTACTGGCCAGCGCACTTCATACACAGCCATCACGCATCTGTTATTGGAGGTTTGGGTGTTGCTATGATGAATCAGAGGCAGGTTATCCAGTAAGTAAGGTAAGCACGGGCTTACTTGTGCTTCCTTACTAATCTGTAGTGAACAATTTCACATTTTTTTCACCACATCAAAGACTCTGCTTTTAGGTATGGCTGGCATCTGTCTGTCTCCCACCCCCACAGCACCTTCCTACAGAATCAAAGCCAGTTTTCAAATTTACAATTCCTGATGGGCACATGACCCAGTAAGCAAGGTATAAGCACGGACTTGTGCTTACTTACCAATCTCTAGTGAACAATTTTGTTTCAGAGGAGGTTTCAGACTACAATGGCTAGGAATAAAGGCCTGGCAATCTACCTGTGAAAAATCAGCCTGTGAAACCCTATGTATCACAGTAATCAGATTTTTAACCCATCGTGGCGATGGCACAGGACTGGGCAGTGTTTCATTCCATTGTGTATGGGGTTCCCATGAGTCAGGCGCCAACCTGACAGCAGCCAACAGCAACAACTTAATTCACAAGGGATCCTCTGGGTGGTTTGTTAAAGTGAGCCTTTGTAATAATGTCTTAAAATAATAATCACATTTAGATAGTTATATAAATACATTTATATATAGTTATTATTTACGTGAAATCCCTGGTGGTGTTGCAGATGGTTAACATGCTCGGCTATTAACTGAAAGATTGGAAGTTTGAGTCTGCCCAGAGATGCCTAGGAAGAAAGGCCTGGAAATCTGCTTCTAGTGAGTCAGCCATTGAAAACTCTGGAGCATAGTTCTACTCTAACACACATAGGATCACCATGAGTCAGAGTTGACTTGACAGCAACGGTTTATTATTTATGTATTTAAGTGGTAACAGTTATATGTATATATAACATAAATAACATTTATATAGTGTTTACTGTGTGCCAGTGACTACTGTAAGTGCTTTACTTATAATACCTTTTTAGGATTGTTGTAAGGATTAAATGAGTTATATACTATTATTAGCATCTATTTATTGACTATACAAAGGCATTTCACTGTAGATCGTAACAAATCGTGGATAACATTGCAAAGAATGGGAATTCCAGAACACTTAATTGTGCTCATGAGGAACCTGTGCATAGACCAAGAGGCAATCGTTCAGACAGAACAAGGGGATATTGCATGATTTAAAAGCAAGAAAGATGTGCATCAGGGTTGTATCCTTTGATCACACTTATTCAGTCTGTATGCTGAGCAGATAATCCAAGAAGCTGGACTGTATGACGAAGAACATCAGGATTGGAGGAAAACTCATCAACAGCCTGTAATACACAGATGACAAAACCTTGCTTGCTGAAAGTGAAGAAAACTTAAGCACTTATTGATGAAGATCAAAGACTGCAGTCTTCAGTATGGCTTACACCTTAACATAAAGAAAACAAAAATCCTCATAACTGGACCAGTAACACACATCATGATAAATGGAGAAAAGATTGAAGTTGTCAAGGATTTTATTTTACTTGGGTCCACAATCAACGCTCATGGAAACACTAGTCAAGAAATCAAACGACGTCTTACGTTGGGCATATCTACTGCAAAAGACCTCTTTAAAAGTTTTAAAAAGCAAAGATATCACTTTGATGGCTAAGGTGCATCTGACCCAAGCCATGATCTTTTCAGTTGTCTCGTGCATGTGAAACCTGGATAATGAAAAAGGAAGACAGAAAAAGAATTGATGTGTTTGAACTGTGGTGTTGGCAAAGAATAATGAATATACAGTGGACTGCCAAAGGAATGAACAAATCAGTCTTAGGACATATACAACCATAATGTTCCTTAGAGCAAGGATGATGAGACTTCAGCTCACTTCCTCTGGACACATGATCAGAAAAGACCAATCATTAGTAAAAGAGCATCATGTTTACTAAAGTGGAGAGTCAGCAAAAACCGGGGAAACCCTCCATGAGATGTATTGACGTGACTGCAGCCATGGGCTCAAACATATGAATCATTTTAAGGATGGTGCGGGACCAGACAGTGGTTCGTTTTGTTACATGTATGGGTGCCAAGAGTCCGATTGACTTGATGGCAACTAAAAACAGCAACATAGGTGATAAATATAAAAATTAAGTATCAGAATTACTGAGTTTCCTTTATTAAAAGCATTCCAGCTAATAAATGGAGGAATGATAGAATTGTAAAATTATCATTTTGTAACCCATGATGATTAATGGCTCTAAGCAGTGAACATCAGTGACTGCAAATATCACAAAAAGAGAAGCAAACAGATGTTAGTGGCTCCTGGTGGAACTACACAATGTTATTTATGAAATGTTTCTGCCAGAACATCAGATCTGAATCTAACCAGTCCTCTAGATCTAACTGAGGAAAGATACATATGGGAAATATAGGACAGAGGAACATGTTAAATGACATCATAAAGATAAAGACAGACTTAACACAATCCCAAATGTGGAAGACTCTATACAAACCACCTGGTTTCTTAGAGCAGTGGGTGCATCTGTAGATTAAAAGAGTCTTAAGAAACCTATTGACCAGTTACAATATATGGACTTTACTTGGGTTTGAACACACTATAGGAAACCATTTATGATAAATTTGGGAGAATTTGAATGCTGACTGGATAGTGATAATTTTTTAAGTTCTTTTGTATAGATACAGATATATAAAATATTTATCGATGTAATTATAAGGTACCTGGAAATCGCATCAAAACAATGCAGGTATGGAATGGGAGGAGTGAGCAGGGGTATGGCTGAAACAAGACTGGCTTGAGTGACCACTGTTAAAGCTGGGTGATGGGCACCTGCGAGTTCAATGTACTGCTCTCTCTACTTTTCCGTGTATTTAAAATTTTCCATGATAAAAAGTTACAATAAAAAACGCTATGGATTTCTGGTTTTAGTCCCACAAACTTCTGTTGATTTCTAAACCTTTTTCTTTCCTTAGATATTTAACACTACCTCTGTGTATGTGTGTTTGTGTGTGTGTTTTTTGTCTTATCTAAAAGTATTGCATGGAAATCTGATTTTTTTTCAAATAAAATCATTTTCAGTATAGTCACGCTACTTTGTTAATATAGTAAAGCTGTTTATAAACCTTCAGTTTCTAGCTTTTTAAAAAATAACTTCTAACTTCTGACTACTTAGAACAAGGTCACCTTTGCCTTCTTGAAGGAGCCTTGGTGGTGCAACAGTTAAGCACTCAGCTGCTAACCGAAAGGTTGGTGGGTCAGATGCACCCTGCAGCTCACGGGTGAAAGACCTGGTGATCTGCTCTCATAAAGACTGAAGCCAAGAAAACCCTATGGGTCAGTTCTGCTCTGTCACTTGGAGTCATTACGAGTCAGAATCGACTTGACGGCACCTAACAACAACTACCTGCCTTCTTATAATATATCATCAAATTTCAGCCAATTTTTTCTTAAATGTAGTTGGTAAAATTTTATTTTTGATAATACACGGAATTTTAAGTAAGTTTTACTTTATTATTATTTTTTTCTAAACCTGAAAGCTAATCAAACTCTCAACCCCGCCCCCACTTTTTCTTTTCCCCACAATCTGACAGCACACTACCCTTTTCCAGCTCGGGTTCCCCGTGTCTGTTCCATTCGACCAGTTCCTGTCCCTTCCTGCCTTCTCATCCTGCTTTTGGACAGGAGCTGCCCATTTAGTCTCATGTATCTGATTGAACTAGGAAGAACATTCTTCATGTGTATTATTCTTTGTTTTATAGTCCTGTCTAATCTTTGTCTGAAGAGTGGGCTTCAGGAAAGGTTTTAGTTCTGGGTTAACAGAGTATCCAGGGGCCATAGTTTCGGGGGTTCCTCCAGTCTCTGTCAGACCATTAAGTCTGGTCTTTTTATGTGAGTTTGAATTCTGTTCTACATTTTTCTCCTGCTCTGTCCAGGACGTTCTGTTGTGTTCCCTGTCAGGGCGGTCATTGGTGGTAGCCAGGCACCATTTAGTTCTTGTGGTATCAGGCTGGTGGAGTCTCTGGTTCATTTGGTCCTTTAGTCCTTTGGGCTAGTATTTTCCTTGTGTCTTTGTTTTTTTTTTTTCATTCCCCTTTGCTCTGAGTGGGATGGGACCAATAGATGTATCTTAGATGACTGCTCAAAAGCTTTTAAGACCCCAGATGCTACTTACCAAACATAGAGCATTTTCCTTACAAACTATGTTATACCAGTTGACCTAGATGTCCCCCAAAACTATGGTCCTCAGGCCCTAGCCCCAGCTACTCTGTCCTTCCAAGTGTTTGGGTGTGTCTAGGAAACTTCTTTGCTTTTGCTTTGGTCCAATTCTGTTGACTTCCCCTGTATTGTGTGTGGTCCTTCCTTTCACCGAAGTCGACCCTTGCCTACTATCTAATTAGTAGTAAAACCCTTGTTTAATTCCTTTGTGATCTTAATTTTTATTTTAGCTATACTTTTTGCTTCCTGTATAAAATTCTGTTTACAGCTTTCCAGTCCCACCAATATTAAGCCTCTTTAACAGACCGTTTATGAAGTTTCCTAACCTTAATGATTAAGCTGACCTTTTTCATTTAGTTTTTTTGTAGTTTAGCTGTTTTTTCACCTCACTGACTTAGATGCTTGTTGCAACCACACACCACTGATTGTATTTTTTATTTTAGGTACTTACTACAACCGAAAGACAATGGAAATAAGCCTTCCAAAACTGATGACCTGGGGTCTCTTCGGTTAAATATATGTTACACAGAAGACTGCGTGCTTCCTTCAGAGTACTATGGGCCTTTGAAAACTTTGCTGCTAAAATCACCAGATATCCAGGTACTTTAAAAATTCTAAAATGATGAGAAGATTTCAGCATATCGAGTCTTACAAAGCATCAAATATATATATTTATCTGAGCCAGTGTACTGTGATTCTGATCTGTGTGCTCTAAATTTCATCTATACTAAAAATCCAGAAAATTAAGTATATAGTTAATGAACATATCTGAATTACTTTTACAGGTTAGTGATTGAAAATTTAATCCTGAACCATGAAAATTTAATCTTGATTTTATGCTTGTTTCCATCTTTTTGTATTCTAGCCCATATCTGCCTCAGCTGCTTACATTTTGGGTGAAATATGTCGAGATAAAAATGACGCTGTTTTGCCTCTTGTACGACTGCTGCTGCACCATGATAAACTTGTTCCTTTTGCTACTGCAGTGGCTGAATTAGACTTGAAGGATACACAGTAAGAGTTGTATCTTATTGAATGTTAATTATGTGTTGTTGAAATTGGACTTTAGCTTGCCAGGTGGTTTTTGTAATCTGAGTTCTTTTGTATTGAGCTAAGTTTACTGTATAGTAGGCTGAGAAGAACTGCTTAGCCAGTGATAAAAGGCAATTCTTTAAATTATAAACATTATCTGCCAGCAGTAAAGATAACAGTTAATGAGGGATTTTTTTTTTTTTAACTCAGTGAAGAAATTTTCCTTATTACTAATCTTTTCTTACTATAGTGAATCTAATGTCACAGATAAAACACCAGGGCAGTAGGTTTTTCTTGTCCTTATCTGTTATGTATCACTCTTACATGCACATATGTGACATAAAAAGCAATCAGGTGGCTTCCCACTCCCCTTGCAGTCCAAGAGAGTTATTTGTACGTACCAAACCAAACCTGCTGCTATCGAGTGGATTCCAATCCATGGCAGCCCTACAAATTTCAGAGTAGTACTGAGCTCCATAGAGTTTTCAATAGCTGTAATCTTACAGAAATAGATCACCAGGCCTTTCTTCTGCATTGCCAGTGGGTAGGTTTGAACTGCCAACCTTTTGCATAGTAGTTGACACACACACACGTATACTTCATTTCTGTAGTCCGTAAACATCCCAAATATTTAATCTACTTGATCTCCTTTTTTTGTTGTTGTTTCTTTGTATTTAACTTCTTTTCCTGCATTTTTGGTAAGTTTGAAAAACCTAAGGACATAGTTTTAAATGGATGATAAAAATTATTAAGATTTTAAGTATGACCAAAGTAAAATATCTCTCATTATTGGTTTCACAACCTTTGTTTACTACCCTTGGTTTCACCTTATTTATTTTTCTATTTCAGAGAGGCAAATACAATTTTTAGAGGAAATTCCTTGGCTACTCGATGTCTGGATGAGATGATGAAAATAGTGGGAGGGCACTACCTGAAAGTAACATTAAAACCTATTCTAGATGAGGTACAGAATATACTCCTGTTAATGATAGTTTGTGGTCTTATAACATTTCTTTAATTAAGTGATCTATTAATGAGAATTATATATCCACCAATGTACTGCTGAAAGAATAAGGCTAAACACTTTAGAAGTGAAATAAATGATTTACTTTTCTGTCAACAGGTTTTTGCTCAAAGGGCACACTGTCATATAATCTACGTAATTATTTCTTTGTTATTGGATTTGCATGCTAGGTATTTAGATATGATAAATATTTTTTATATAGTTCTTTTACTATATTTAAAATAATAGTTATTTTCATTTGGCCAAATTATTAAGGAAAAAACATTAACTGAAAAATGTATTTATTTTCAGATATGTGAATCCTCAAAGTCCTGTGAAATTGATCCTATTAAATTGAAAGAAGGAGATAATGTAGAAAATAACAAGGTATGTCTTTGTTATATTTGTAACTGCATATAAGATTGGTCTTAATGGTGTAGCTGTTTCCCACTTACGTTGTAATAATGCTGTATGGAGGGAAGCAGTAATTTATTCTTTACATAATGCCCTTAGCAATGACAGCATTTGCTACGGCTAGTTTTTAGAATGTTGTTATTTTGCCATTGGACTTCATTTTATATTTGGTCTTTTTGATTGTCTCTCTTTTGGCTGTAATAACAAATAATAGATTAAGGCCATATCTACCCCCATTCTGGCTATTCTTTTGGGATCAAATTGATCAGGCTAAGTGGCACAATGCCTTGATCAGTTAATACTTTAGTTGCCCCTGGGGAAACAATGAGTGTATTAGGGTCACAAGTTTTCGATACGGTAGACAACAATGCCATGCTGTCCATGTGCCTGCCTATCCAGGCTGTTTCCCTGACTTCCCTTTGGATCGTTTTACTCTCTCTTGCTTCTTGTGATGTTTATTCCATACATTCGCCTCTTACATCTGGCTAGTCTAAACATAATTTATAAAATCAGGTCAGAATATAAATAGTCCTTTAACTGAATGAGTTTGCAGAAGGGAAGCATGGCTTTAGAATACTAGATGGGGACTTTCTAATAAACTTATTTTCATTGCATATTTTTTTCTTAAAGGCTGCTGGAGATGTGTGAAAGTCAAAATTTTAATGTTTACCTTTTTAAATCCTACAGGAGAATCTGCGCTACTATGTAGATAAGGTATTCAGTACAATTATAGAATCAAGTATGAGCTGCCCCACAGTAATGTGTGATATCTTTTATTCTCTAAGGCAAATGGCTACTCAAAGATTTCCTAGTAAGTGCCTTGTATTACTAAAACATGCCATTTCTTTTTCTATATTTGATTTTTTCTAGGTATTTATTGTGTATTTGGTTTATGTGAAATGTTTAAGGTTTATACGTATAGTTTTCTTTGGTTTTTCAAAATGGTTATACCTTTTTTTATAAAACACCTGATTTGTTTTCCTTGTACTCTCAAAAACAAATATTTTTTATTTCAGTATAGTGGCAACTTTGTACCAAGTATGGGTCAAAATCACCATCATTTTTAAGAAAGACAGAAATTTAGAAGTGTAACATTAGATAAGTAAACATTTATGCCAGGTGCTTAGGAGATTGTTAAATATACTTAAAAAAAGTATCTTCATTATCTGTACCAACTGTCTTTTCCGCTATTCATGCATTCAGATAGTCAGAATCTTTAATTCTATGCAGTTGACTAGACTTTCTAAAACTGTCTAACAGTTGGAGAATGCTAAAGTTTTGGTAGTGAAAGGTTTTTACAGAAATGATCTTAGACATTAGAAACATCTCTATTGCAACATACTATATAGAATTTTGAAGTATATGTATCAGTAACTGGTATGCTTTAATTTTAAAAGAGTAGCTGCATCAAGGCTTTACTTGGAAGGAAACATTTTGTGAAATTAAGAGTTGCTATCTCTGACTGTCAATACTTGGGATTATTCTAGTTTTAATACATCTGATATGTAAATAAACTTCCAGATCTGCCTGAGTGAGGTTGGTGGGGTAGGGGTGAGAGGGTAAGGCAGCTACTTAAATTATCAGTCTCACCCACCTGTGTGAAACTCTAAGTATGTTTTTGTAACCACGTGAAGAGAGTTTGCTATTTTATCATGTTTGTGCACAGTTCATTGCCCCCTGCGAAATTGACATAGTACTGAAGTGGTGGGGCTGAGGTGTCTAACATGTAGGTAAATTCAGCCCTAGATGTTTTTGCTAATTATAGCAAAAGACATAAACAGTTAAATTCAAATAAATATACTAAGTCTAGTCCTGGTAACAAAAGTAAAGGGAGCAGAGATATTAACATATGGAAAAATGAAATGCTGATTGAAATTGTTCTTTTAAGAGTGAGTTAGATCATGATGACTACGTTGGGTACTTAGTGAGTGAGCAGGCGCATTGCTAGTCTGCATTGTCTCCTCTCGTCTTTACAACACCGCACGAGGTAGATAAACGAAACTAAGGTTTAGGTAACTTGTCCATGACATGGCCAGTGGGCAAGCAGGGTCTTAAACCTAGGCCTGACCTACTCCAAAGCACATGCTACTAATCACTATATACCACCCAGTGATCTTGGCCTTAAATATGCTTTAGCCATTTAATTCTTGTTTATATAAGTGATGTAAAACACATCTTACCATTTTTTTTATAAATGCAAATATATCTTCTTAACTATCCTTTTGTTGGCCTAAATATAAACATGTCTTTGTATCCTCAGTAGGCTACAGTATTGATAGTTTTGTTGCAAAAAAATATTTTCATGTTCTCTCATTTATTCTTAACTGCCCTGGGAGGAAGGATAGGAAGGGGGAGGCAGTGGGTGGGAAGCAAGTATTATTAGACCTACAGATTAAATGACTTGTCAGTGGTTACCTAGGACTTATAAGAGTTAAAACTCGTATCACATCCAGGGATTCTTTCCCTCATCACCTGCTTCTCCACCATCTGACTTATGGGTTAAGTGGTAACTCTTATCTGAGATGAAACCTGTAGGTGAATGATCAAAGCCACAAGTCTTCTCTTCATCTGTATTTTTATATGGAATATTGATAGCTTTTCTTAAGTGAGGATTTCTGACTAATCATTTTTATTGCATATCCATTGCTATTATCAGAATCTTTGAGGGGAAGATTGAAATAATATCCTAAAACTGAAAATAATCTCCTTAGGGGATTCAGTATTACCACTAGGTAGTGCTAGATACTACTTTTATTTTTGTTGTTATAATTTAAGGAACCTCTTCTTACAGATGAGGAGAGAGGTATTTTTCAAATTAAAATATTTTTGAAAATCTAGCAGCTTTGCCTTCCAGTATCTTTATTTCTTGTAACTTTTTTTGTAGTCATAGGATTTATTTCTTTAATTTAGTCATAATCATTACTATCATTTCATCAGCTCAGTCCTTGCTAGACAAATTGTATTGGTCTCCAATTTAGTTTTCATGATTTTTCAATATTTTTTACTTCGTCATCTTTGTTTTTTAATTCAGTGTTTTTGTGCGTGACGTTTCACCATTCTTTTCCTGCAGATGACCCTCATGTTCAGTATTCTGCAGTGAGCAGCTTTGTGTTTCTTCGTTTCTTTGCTGTAGCCGTAGTATCACCTCATACTTTTCATTTGCGACCTCATCATCCAGTAAGTGTTTGTTCTTCCCAAAGCTCTATTCCATTTGTATTAAAATGAAGAAGACAAAGTAGCAAACTAATTTCACTTGGCTGTGTTTTCTTATAATTTATTCTTAAATTTACTGGGCATTTTTCTTGGCCATTTCAGTCTGTCAGGTAAAGCTGAAAATTATATTTTTATTTTTTGTTGTTAGTGTTTTTAAAAGATATTCCATAAGGGTGCCAAAATGCTGATAATTGTTGAAGTTTGGTGATGGGTACCAAGGGAATTCGTTATGGTTTACCCTCTGCTTTTGTGTATGGTATGTTTGTAAATTTCCACGATATAAGGGTTTGGGATTGTTTTTTAGGAAGCGATACATTTAGGTTTTTTGTTTTTTAACAGAACCTACTTTCTTGATTATATGAAAATAACAATCTTGTAGATATGTTTAAATCTTCATGGAAATTTTAAGAGACTTATTTCTGAAAGGTATAGAAACTTTTACTGGAACATAATTTGTTTAGTATCTCCATATTATTACTTTCATTCACCTAAAGTGATATTGTAAATGTATGAGATTTAAATCCCTTTTTTAAAGCATATAATCTTTTTGTTCTGAAAAAAAAAAAAAACAAAAAAAAAACAAACGCGTTGCCGTCAGAGTCGTTCTGACTCATAGGGACCCTGTAGGACAGAGTAGAACTGCTCCATGGGTTTCCAGGGAGCAGCTGGTGGATTCAAACTGCTGACCTTTTGGTTAGCCGCTGAGTTCTTAACCACTTTGCCACCAGGGCTCGTTTTGTTCTGAAGCCCTACTTAATTCCTAAATTTAAATCTGCACTGCATAGATTTACATGTTTATTTCTTAACATTTTAACATTCTTTATTATTTTTGCTGTTTCCTTCTAAAGCAGTATGTTTTTGATGACGCTTTAACATTTTATGTTCTAAATATTTATAATCTTATCTCATTGCTTCCAGTTGTAGATTTGTACAACACAAAATAAGAATAGACAACATTTATTTAGTGTTTACTTAGGACTAGGCCTTGTTGTAACTTCTTGTTGTGTGCCATCAAGTCGATTCCAACTCATAGTGACCCTATAGGACAGAGTAGAACTGCTCCATAGGATTTCCTAGTCAGTAATCTTTGCGGGAGCAGATTGCCAAATCTTTTCTTCTGTGGAGCTGCTGGTGAGTTTGAATTGCTGACCTTTTGGTTAGCAGCGGAGTGCTTAACCACTTCACCACCAGGACTCCTTTTGTTTATTTATTTACAGATAAAGGAAATCACAATACAGTAGTTCCTCAAGGTTGTGACACAAGTAATAAATCATGGTTTGATCTCACTTGATAGGAACTAGACTAAACTGGGATTCTAAGTCAGTCTTCACAGTCTTTGATCTTACCTGTTCCTTACTGCCTCTTAGACAGACGTTTTGAGTACCTGAAACATATCAGACATTATGTTCAGCCCTGAAGAGACTTCTTGCCCTCAGGATACTCAGTCTGGAGGAGGTGTTCATTGAATAATTTTGTGTAGAGAAGACACACATGGGTTTTACATTTAAACCCAGCTCTGAATGCCCATTCCTCCTCTCAGTACCTACGTGACATTAACCACTCATTTAACTTTGTGAGCGCTGAATAGACAAATGGTCAATGAGTAGCTGCAGCAGAGAGTGGGCTGGTGTCCGTTTGTTCACAGGGCTGTCCTGTCTGTGGCTGTTACTGAAGCTGTGCGGCACTCCCAGGCTGTGCAGCACAGCGATGGCTTGGTAGCAGCATTCTGGACATAAATAAAACTGATACTTCTGAACTTGTGACCCTGCGTTGCATTCAGACTTGGTTTTGCATATCCTTGTTACAGGTGTTAACAATAAAATCCTTCTAACGAAAAACTCATTGCATTTTAGGTCAGTTTTCCAATCAGTATGCTGGAAGGACTGCTTCGTAACGGTCATATAACTTCATTATTTGCTTTTAAGTGTAACCTTATCCCTGCTCTTGAAGTACCTCTGGGTCTAATTAGGGAGATAGGACAAATGGATAATCTACAAGTAGCACCTGATTAGCACCAAGTAAACTTAAGTATAGACAACTCATACTGTAGAAATTGAGAGCAGGGAGGAATCCCAGTGACCAGGGTAATGACATTGTCAAGACCAGTATTGAAAGTTACAGAGTGGTTGAGGAGAACTGATTAAAAGTCGTTGAATTTTACATTTTAAAGTTGTTTGAATTTTGAGAAGTTAGTTTTAGTACAGTAACAGAGAGGAGCAGATTGCAAAGATTAAAGAATATGTGTGTGAATGCAGTTTTATTTAAGAAGTAATACAGAAAATAAACTTGCCCTATGCTAAAAGGCATGGGAAAATTCAAGCATGTTTGTTAGTGTGCACATGCACAATTTTATTTTTTTTAAGAAAACACTAATTTTAAAGTTTTTTTTTTTTTTTTAAACATTGACATGGTGTACAACTCTTTTGAGAAGTTTCATGGTGAAAAAAAAAATAGGATTGGAATATCCTTATCATATCCTCCATACTCGCATTCATAGCTCCTTTCAAGACTCAGCTAAGGCATACTTCCCTATCCCTTCAGTCTGGATTAGGTGCCTCTCTTATAGTGCCTGGCTCTCTCTGTTATGGCATTCCTCATACTGTTTTATAATCATCTTGTTTATAATCTCTCCATATGGACTGTAAATACCTTGAGAGCAAGATCTGGATCTTTTTCGAGTTTGTGTATCCCAAGCATGTGGCAGTTTCTAGGGCAAGTAGGTGATCAGTAAGTGTTTGATGAATGGAAAATAGTAGCTCAGAGAGAGAGCGGGTCAAATGAAGAGTCTTTTCCAAGATGTGAAGACCTGTGTAAGGTTTTAATAGAGAGGACAAGACCAGCAGAAAGGGAGAGATTAAAGAGATCAGTATCTTGAGGGATCCAGAAAGAACATTTAAAGGAAAAAGTGATGGGGACCTTAGAAAAAAGAACAACTCCTTTGAAATATTATGGTAAACTATATGAATTTTTTTTTTGTAGGTTAAAAATAGTCAAAGGATAAGGATGCACAGCTGATTATTGTATTTGCTGTCAATAAGTTGTAAAAAGTTGATGTGGCAGAAGTTATGTGGTAGATATATTTACAAGAACGACAAAAAAAAGAGTAGCTCCTGAGGCTGCTTATGAACAACCAAAACTCATGGGATTTGGTTCCTTGGTTTGGAGGCTTAGAGTCAGGTTTCATGGGACATCCCAGTTAATTGGCCTAATAACATGTTTGGCGCCTCTGTTCTACCTCCTAGCTCGTTGCGTAGTGCCTGGGGGGTCTTAAAAACTTGCAAGTGGCCATCCAGGGTACAGTAATTGGTCTCTGTTTGCTGGAGCAACAGAGGAAGAAGGAGAATCAGGAATAGGAGGAGGAAATGGAATGTGTGGCTAATTGCCTCCATGAACAACTGCCTCCTTTGCCATGAGACCAAAAGAACTGGATGGTGCCTGGCGACCATTACTGAACATTTTGATCAAAGATACTGTAGAAGAATCCTGATTAAAGGGGGGGAAATGCAGAACAGAATTTCAGCTTCTCATGGACTCCACACTTCCTGAAGCCATGAAGGTTGAATGAACCCTTGAAACTATTGCCCTGAGATAATCTTTAAACCTTAAACCAAAAATATCCCCTGACATCTTCTTAAAGCCAAATAATAGTTTAGCTTAACTAGTAAAAAATGTCTGCCTTGAGCATTATGCTGTTTTAAGAACTATCTATATGGGATCAAATTGGTAACGGCAACTCGAAAGATTAGATAGAAATCTTAGGGGGCAGTGAATTTGTGTTTATAGGGGAGAAACAACTCAGAAAAGGAAGGTGAGAATGGTTGCACAACTGGAAGAATATAATCAATGCCACTAAATAGTACGTGTAGAAACTGTTGAGTTGGTGTATGTTTTGCTATATTCTCAACAACAACAACAAAATAAATAATTTTTTCAAGTCAAATAATGGCAATTTTGTATGGTTCATCTTAATATAAGGAAGAGAGGATAGGCTATATGAATGTACACCAGGTTATTTTGAGGTGAGAAATTTAACATTTCAGTTGAACTTACTAAACGTTTATATAGTATCTACTACATATAAACATTTAATAAATGGCACTACAAGGTGCCAGATGACCAGATAAAGCCCTGGTCACTTATGAAAGGCAAGGTTAATCTATGAAAAATTATGGTGACACATGGTGACGGGAAAAATTTAGAACAGCTGATATGTGGAGTACACCAGGGAATCAACAGTAGCTGAATGGCATGATTGTCAAATAATGGTGAGGGCCATCTTGCTGTAAACAAACTTCTGAAGTGCAGAAGTTGTACAAAATATGCTGTGTTCTCTTTTTTCAGTTCAGGAAAGTAATGGCCTAAAATATTAATTCTAAAACCAAATTTGAACAGGGAAGTCTTGGTGAAACTCATTTCAATTCAGTTTACCACCACATTTATAAGAATTTGTAGAGGCAGAGAATTTTAGGAGCCTCATATCCATAATGGAATTCTGGCTGTTCGAGCTAAAATATTTTCTGAATAACTTTAATTTAGATGCATAACTGTGTCACAAGTATTTCATAATGATCATATCCCAAGATATTCCTTTTTTTCCAGATTTCCTTATATCCTGGACTTCTCTTCCTCTTTACATCCATTGCCTATTTTCAATATGGGGATATTAAAATTTTAAGGAACGTCAACCAAAAACTAAACTGAAGCTTTTCAGCATCTAAATTTTCCTGGGCATGTCTTTTCATGGAAGATACTGTTTACTTGAATCCCCCAAAGAAAGATGTTCTATCGTGATAGGGGAGTTGGTTACACAGGTGTATGCATTGATGAAAACTCATCAGACTATACATTTAACATCTGTTCATTTCATTGTATGTAAATTATACCTCAATTATTTTTAACAAGGAAGGAGCAGGGACTTATAAGGGAACACTGTTTAGTCAATTTTATTTACGTGTACTTTTTTCAGGTAGACAGGCCTGAAAAACACTGTGGATAACAGGCGCAAATAGTTACCCTCTTAAAAGATCCTACATGAACTGGGTGACGTCTCATTTCCTAAGCTGAATTTAGGTCTTTGTTTCCATAGTGAAGAGTTGATTGCAGAAGCCATATAAGTTATTGAATATGCTTAGAGGAGGGTTGAGCACAGAAAATTTGGAAACTGCCATTTTAAGTTAGAAGGTAGAAAAAAGTAGATGCCGTTGCCATTCCAAAAGTGAATATAATTTGTCAGGCAATCCAACCCGCCATACTACCATACTGTACAAAACAGCATACATGTAATAGTTGATTAAATTATGCCTTTTAAAGTAACATATCATTAAATGTGACTATTTTGGGAGAGATTGTTGATTATATGTGGCTTCTTTTAGTCTTAATTTTGTAGTCCAGTGAGCTGTGCCCAATGTTAGCTAGATTTTTAACTACATTTGTGGTTTAATTTAACATTTTTGAGTAACAGTTTTTGAGCACTGTAACCTATTCACTTTATTCTACTTTTTATACGAATTAATTTGTTGAAAGCTTCTCAGGAATTTTGTGTCTTTTTTACATTCTCTAGGATGCACAGACAGTTAGGACATTAACTCTCATCTCAAAAACCATTCAAACTTTGGGAAGCTGGGGTAGTCTGTCCAAAAGCAAGGTAAGTCTTTACATTTTTTTTTTTCCACAGTTCTAAATTTTGTAATAGCCTGTGATCCCTTCTCCCTCACTCACCCCTTGCAAAGTAAAATCAGAACAAAACCAAAAGAGAAATAAACAAATGCAATAGCTGTGTTTTAGGTAGATATGGCATCTTAGTCACCTGTTAAAAAAGACTGTTCAGTTAAACTGGTATCACATCTAAGGGGAAGAGAGTCTCATAAGATCAAGGGTGGTCTGTTTATCTGTTTATGTATGCCGTAATCACCTGGCAGCTGTTAAAGAACTCAGCTCCAAACACCATAACTCTCTAGAAATAAATTATTGAGTCCTCTTAAGACTCAGTCCTCAGTTTGAAAATACAGTCCATTATATTTTTATTTTTCTACTTAACATATATTAATCCTGTGTTTTTTTCTTAGTCAAGTTTCAAAGAGACATTCATGTGTGAATTTTTCAAAATGTTTCAAGAAGAAAGATATATTAGAGCCGTTAAAAAGGTATGATCTTTTTACTTTGAAAATATTAAACATTTCTTGTCATAAAGCATTTGGGGAAGTAAATACTCTGTCTTGAACACCCAGAATGCAAAAAACATACTTTTCATTGAATTATTTCTTTCCAACTTCTTCACATTTTATGTTATTCCTAGAAGTCAGTCCCCAGCTTAAAAAAATAACAGTGTTTAAACTGTCCATCAGATATTAAAAAAGGCTATCTTTTTCTTCCTTTCTCTTCCCGTACAAAGCTGCGGGTTTTCAGCTGTAAAAATACCAAATGAGTTTTAATCACAGCTACTATTGCCAGTATCTTAGTGTCACAAATTACAGATGTCTAGGGCAGGGTTTCTCAACGGTGCCATTAATTGCCATTTGGGGTCAGATAATGCTTGATTGTGAGGGGCTGTTGGATGTTTTGCAGCATCCCTGACCTCTAGCCATTAGATGTTAGTAGCATGCCCCCACTTGTGACAACCAAAATTGTCTGCAGACATTACCAAATTTTTCCTGAGGGGCAAAATTGCCTCCAGTTAAAACCACTGGTCTAGGGCTAAAGTAGTACTTGAAAGATTCTTACAGGGACTCATTAAATGAAAATAATAATTAAAAAAATTAAAGCCAGCTTTTTTTAAAATCTAGAATAGTGCAAGTTCAACCAAAAATTTTTTGGAGCAACCATTGAAGGCTTTTGAGGAGAAAATCTTTCAAAAGAATAGGCAAAGAAAAAGCTGGCCTTTTATTTTTAATACATTGTTGAAACATTTGTGGGACAGTGTAGGCAGACTTCTGTTGGCAAGACTATGATGTACTGTCTTTTGTTTTGGGGTTGTTTTTTCCATGTTTATGACCTGGGCTGTGGTAGCATCTGATTTTTCTTTCTGATATTATCAGAATGTGTAGAGTTGATAATGTCAGTGGAAAAAGGATTGAAGAGTGCCAGGAATTTAGTCTATTCCTGCTCTGCCCTGAGTCACCCACTCACATTCTCATGGACTGTCACTGTTTGTCTCCAGTTTGATTCTAGGCCCCAAGACTGACATAGGATATTTTGCCCTGATCTACTAGTTTTCTTTATTCTTCACTAGTTAAGTCTGGGTATGTACAGTGCTGGAAATCGCTGACGCTCATGAAGCCCAATTTCTGGTTTCACATTAGCACTCTCACTGGTGGCATTGACCACTGCTGCAGAAGAAGGTATAATTCGGATTCCTATTCTGTTCCCAGAGCTTAGGAAGGGTAACCTAGATTGTTCCGTAAACAGTGTGACCATAGAATTGTGTGTCGAAACCAGGACACTTTGAGAGTAAAACGGGTACAGTTAATGATTATGCTGGGACAACGGGTATGTAGACCAGGACGGTCCTGAGCAAACTGGGGTGCATGGTTCGTTATAAATATCATAAACCAGTAATATATTTAATAATAATAATTAATAAATAGTTGTGGAATAAATAGATCCATGACATCAGGCAAATACTAGGAAATGAAATATTCAGATAGCTCTTACACTCCATTAGTGGATGGCCATTGCTAGAGATAGATACTCCAAATATTCTTGAGCCACCACATTCCCTTCTTTTTCTACATAATATGTATTCTTCATAGAAAGTTTATAAATAGTGACTGAATTCCCAGGTTATCTCAGAGAGCCCAGTTACACTTCAGTCATAACTGAAATACCATTTCTCAGGGCTAGAATAAGTATATATTCTCTCCCTCCATTGCTGTCGAGTTGATTCTGACTCATAGTGACCCTATAGGACAGAGTAGAGCTGCCCCATAGAGTTTCCAGGGAGCAGCTGGTGGATTCAAACTGCCGGCCTTTTGGTTAGCAGCTGGACTCTTAACCACTAAGTATATGTTGAGGGGGTCAGAGAGTAAATACTTTAGGCTTTGCTGGCCACATAAGTGCCACATATTCTTCTTTGTTTTGGTTTTGATTTTTCTTTTTACAACCTATATCTAAAAATCTTTGGGATCACAAGTGTTTCAGAATTTAGTTTTTCAGAGTTTAGAAAGGTAGTCAGTGTTTACCATATACTATATAACACTTCCGGTGGGGTCTGGGTTAGCACCCCATAATCAAACACGTTAATGTTTATGTAGCACAATTTATGAATATTCACATTAAGTAGGATAAATACAGACTATAAGTAGCTTTACACCAGTTCAGGTTAAATTGTACCCCCAGATGAGTTTACTGCAAACCAAAAATGCAATAAAACAAAAAAACCCTTTGTATTCAGAGCCTTACTGGATTTCAGAGTAGCAGTTAAGATATTGTGGACTTGAATTATTTCTACAGAGAAATATATGCAGGAACTTAAGCAACTTGAGAATAAACTTTTTAGCATAGCTGACATTTGTAAATTAGGGACTTCCTCTGCAATTAAATATATATTTTATTTTATAAATTGTTGTTATATGTGTTCCTTAATAATGAAGAACTTCATAATATAATCTGACATTTAAGATAAACTGAATTTTTTATGATGTAACTTACGGCACAGTATAATTTTTGCCCATTTCCCCATTTAGTTCCTGGATGAAATTTCCTCTACTGAAACTAAAGAGTCCAGTGGTACGAGTGAGCCTGTGCACCTGAAAGAAGGGTAATTTAATGAATTTAGACGTTAAAGTCATGCTTCAGTAGAGACATTAAATAAGTACAAAGAACATGGGTCTAGGAATGAGGAAATCTGGGGTTTTGTTCTCTGCGCATACTGCCTAAGTAACGTCAGTCAGGTTGCATCACCCTTGCTGTGCTCTAAGTGCTATCTGTAAGATAAACTTCATGTCAGTTGGGCATGACTCCCTCGTCACAGAGTTGCAGAGCTGTTTTGAAAATGCGTTGAAATTATGGGTTATTAAAGTACATTGAAAAAGTAACAGCACTATTCCGTCTTAGAGTGTTTTTATTGGAAGAGGGAAAATCACTCATTTGGCCGTTTGTTTTTTATAGCATATATACTAAATTAATTAAAAAGTTTGTTAGTCTGGCCAAAATAAATGCAAGAGTTGTCGGTGGCAAAGATATAATTCTTGGTTTGAATGTTTAGTCTTTGTAGCTAAATGTTTGCATCTGTTGTTTTGGCAGTGAGATGTATAAAAGAGCTCAGGGAAGAACTCGGATTGGAAAAAAGAATTTCAAGAAACGGTGGTTCTGCTTAACAAGCAGAGAGCTCACCTACCACAGACAGCCAGGTAGTTGTGTTTATGCTTTATTGAGGGGCCTTTTCCTGGTTTTAGGTGACGATCTCTTTTTTGCTTCTTAATGTGACCCTAGTGAATCTTTTCACTAATATTATAGTTTATAGTTTCTCAAAGTGGTGCACACACACTAAGAATGTAATAAATTTTTGACAAGTGACACCATGTAAATTACATTTTTCTCACATATTAAATTTTTTGTGTTGCCAATACTGGCATTCCTACAGCATTCTCTGTTTTCTAAAAAACCCCTGTCAAATCCCTGCTATTATAATCAATATGTAAGGAGCAACAGTTAGACCCCTTAGAACTTAGAAGTTTCTTTAACTCTCAGAGCCAATTTAGTAAGAATCAATACCTAATAAATGAGAATATTTCAGTGATTTGCTGGAAAATATCAGCCCAAAATTCCCAGTCATACCATAGACTGTGATCTCTGTGCAGTTACCAGATTTCCCTAGTCTATTGGCCAAGCTATACAAACTAACTTTTTTATAATTTTTCTTTAGAATGGCTTAGCCATAATGACTACATATAGCCAAATATATTAGTATGACAAAAGAAACAAAATGCATTGTTTTTAAGCACTCAGATGATTTGTTATGACAGATAAATGTTCAAATGACTAAAAATCAACAGCTCTTTTACTTGCCCTTCCCAAATGCATATTTTTAGAAGTTATAACTTATGTTGATAAGTATGTAAGTGCTTTCACCTGTGTCTAACGGCATTTTAAAAGTAGCTATCATAATATGGTAATTATGCTTACATTAACAGTACATTTAAGCCAAATTTAAGATAAGTTAGTCATTTTCCATGAATAGAGGAGTCATTTTTTCTCATTAAAAGCATTTTCCAATCTAACCCAATATTTTTTTATTTTTTAATATTTTATTGTACTTCAGGTGAAGGCTGACAGAACAAATAGTTTCTCATTTAACAGTTACTACAAATGTTGCCCTATGACAATGGTTAACAATCTCACAACACATCAACAATATCCTTACTCAGCCTTGGGTTCCCTATCACCAGCTTCCTCGTCCCCTTCTGCCTTCTGGCCCTTGTCACTGGACTCCTGTACCTCATTAGTCTCATTTGGTTTTATGGGGCTGTCCACTCCCAGGCTGAACAGTGAACCTCGGAGGTAACTTCACCACTGAGCTAAAAGGGTGTCTGGGGGCCGTACTCTCTGGGTTTCTCCAGTCTCCTTTAGGCCAGTAAATCTGGTCTTTTTATTGTGAGTCTAACCCAATATTCTAAAATCTTTTTTGGTTCATAGTCTCCTTTAAGAATCGAGCAATAGCTATGGACCTTTTCCCTCAGAAAAATGTACAAACAGAGACACAGAATTTTGACTTTAATTTTATGGAGTTTATAGACCCTAAGTTCATCTATAGTTCTCAAGATAAAGACCTCTGTTCTTTACAGTGATCCTAAGGGAATAAAATTCTGTAGAATGATTACACTACTCTAGGTGCAAATGGTTAATGTGCTCAGCTGCTAATCCTAAGACTGGCATTTCAAGTCCATGCAGAGGTGTCTTGGAAGAAAGGCCTGGCTGTCTACTCCAAAAAAAATCGCATTAAAAACCCTATGGAGTACAGTTCTACTCTGACACGCATGGGATTGCCATTAGTCAGAAATGATTCGACAACCACTGGTTTGGTTTAGGTATAAAATAGACACATTATTTTCAGGCCTTCAGAAATTTAACATGTTGTAATGGCATTGAAAGAATGAGTTCTGTTAGATGAGTTTCATGATTATTTGCTAGAGCATACAGTTTTAAGAATACATACTTTTTGTTTTAACCATTTTGATGGATTTTTCTAAAATGTATTACATGCTTTCCTGCCTTCTAAAAAAGAGTTCATTGAACGTAAGTTAACATTTTCTAGATGACTTGGGGCTCTCATTAATGATATTAATTATTATGTGGTACTCTGATTTAATGATGTCTTCAGGGTTGCTTACGGGTATGTGCAGCTGTTTCCTCTCCAGCTAAATGCCTTGGACTGCTGTGCTTTTTGTGTTTCTGTGTTTGCTGTATACAGTTTTTCTCTATCCCCTTTAAGTTTTACAAGTTTTTCTCTTTCCCCTTTATGGTCAGGCTGTCACCTTAAATTTCTTGTGCTGTCAGTAAACCATAATGTGACATCTCACGCCCATCCCCTACACCCATCTCCATTTTTTACTGTTAATGTACTGTGAGTGAGGATGCAGGCACTGTGTTTGTTAAAATTATGCGTAAGATTTAACAGGCTTTGAGTGAAGACTTCAGGACATCCCCCTGTGACTAGAATACATAGGCTTTGCGTTGTCTCTTTGGTCGTTCAGTGAGTGTTTTCCTTAGTTCCTGTTTCCTTGCTGTATTCTGGGCACCCATACTGCTAGTTAAATAGTCTCTTGCCATACACATTACTGTGTCATTTTGGTGTCTGTAACAGAGTGCTTCTCAAATTTTCTTCTATCTCTGAGACTTTTACACTATTCTTCTGCTGGACACTAGTACTCTGAGTCAAGTGTTCCTGCCACATAGATTCAGATAATGCAGTCTTTTCCCAATTTACGGGGAAAGGAAATCGAATTTTTCTCAAACTCCTAAATTTTTGATGCTTGATTAGCCAAGTTCTAACAAGTAATAGTAAGCACTGATTTTCAACACAACTGAATTAAAATGTGGCAAATAACTATTGTAGAGCACTCAGTCATTTGTCAATCATGATTACTTTGACAGTTTTTTATGGACCTGTGTGCTTGTGATTATGATTTTACATTGCTATATTGTAATGTCATCTTTCATAACTAAAAGTTTTCCTAGTTGTATGCTGGAATCCAGCAAGTTACTGATATTCCGGCCTCTTCTTGCCTCATCCAGTCTTGTCTTTTGCATTCTCCACCTAGCTCTTTACAGTTCTTTAACATGTGCACGTTTACATTCATGCTTTGGCATGGGCTCTACCTAGAACTCTCTTCTCCTTCTTCACCTGTGTTCTGTGTTGTCGTTTAAGCCTCATATCAGATTATCTACTCTTTATGCAAGCCGTTCGTAAGCCTCCAGTCACCCCAGTTTGTCTATTCCCTCACTACTGTGATTCTTTATATAGCACCTTAGAGATAACATCCGTCATACTTGCTGGTCATTACTTTTGTCTGTTTCTTCCCCTAGCCTTTAGATCCCCAATTGTAGAGATCATATTTTCACTTATTAGCATAAAGGCTTTTAGTAAATATTTTTAATGACTGATGTTCTTCAAAGAACACCATGTTTTCTAGCTGTGCTGTCATCTGAGTTACTTTTAAGAACCACTGCTCTAGGTTTCTAAATTTTCACCAAGCGTACTAATATTGGTTTGTTAACTAATTCATTTTGTGTTTTCTACTACTGGGTCTTTCTGTTTATCTTTTTCTTTTTTCCCTTTCTGACTTTATAGGAATAAGCTTTGTCCTTTTTTTTTTTTTTTAACCTAAGTAAGGGAATTTGGATGTCTTGTTTCTGCTCTTAAATTGTTAACACACAAATTTAAAGTGACATGTTTATCCTAATGCCTACAGTTAATTAAAATCTCTGTTGAAGCTAGAAAATAACATTAACGTGCTTTCATTTTCCTCTTTTCCCAGCATCTCTCTAATAAAATCATCTGGGATTTTAATTCTAGGTTGTTTTGTTCCCTTTCCTTTTTTATATTATGCTTTAATGATTTTCTATCCTTGCCTATCAATTTTTCTGGTTTCTTTGCCCAACACTATTTCCTATATAACATACCTGTGTTTTTCCTGATTCATTACTTATTTGCAAGAGTACATCCTCAGAGAATTCTTTCAGATAAGCTTTGTGATAAATTTTCTGAGTCCTTACATGTAAAAAAAGAGTCTTTATTTTACCTTTACTCTTTTTTTAAAATTGTGATAAATATATATGTACCAAATCATTTGCCATTTCAGCATTCTCCACGTGTACAATTCAGTGACATTAATTATTATTTTATTCTTAACTCTTGAATGATAGCTAGACAGGGTATAAAAGTAAAGTTTTAGTATCATTTTACCTCATACCTTTGAGGATACTCCATTTTGACTAGCTGTCATTGTTGCTGCAGAGAATTTTCATGTCAGTCTGATTCTTACTCTTTTTGTTTTTTTTTTTCTCTAAAAACTTTTAGAACTCTTTCTTTAGGCTTCAGGTTCTGATGTTTTACTACCTAGCGTCTAGATACTTGTTTTTTGTTTTTGCTTTCATCCATCCTGCTCAGCACTTGGGGGATTCTTTCAATCTGAGTATTTCTATCTTTGGCACATTTTCATCTGTGGTTTTCCCCCTGAGCAGTCTTTCCATCCTGTTTCTAGAATTCTTATTACTCAGATATCGATACTTCTAGATCTGTCCTCTACTTCTTTATTTTCTGTTTCTTTGTTCTTTTGCAATGTATTTTTGGAGAATCCTCTATTAAAGTCTTCATTTTACTAATTTACTTTGAGTCATTTCATTAAACATGATTAACTGTGAAATTAACTCCAGCGACATCATGAAGGTATATGTGCCTGGGAGCATTGTAATATCTTTGTGCCCTCTCTGCCTATGCCATACTATAATTTGTCCAGAAATGAATAACTGTAGCAATTTGAGTGTATTTGCATGTTTTGTGTATTCAACAAATCTAAGCATAGAAACTCATTGGAAAATTTAAAAATTCTCGAACTTGAATCTTTGTGCTACCCCCATGTAGATCAGAACCCAAAGAAATAAGTCTCTTCTGCTTCCGTCAGTTTGTTACACCCGATTCCTCAGAGGTTGTTCTCCTTGTAGCATTTGTGTCTCTTTTTCAGAGTGCTGGTTTTCCTCATCTGTTCGGTGATTTTTTTTTTTTTTCATAATTTGCTCACCTTTGTTCTAGTATCCCCATTCACCTGCTCGTTGAGTGTTCAGTAACTTGCCTCAGACGACTATGAGGGAAGGACAGGACAACCTGCAGAGGGACAGGGCTGCTGGTGCTTGTCTTCTGGGTGTGGGTGCTCTCCTTCCCTCCTGAGGTTCAGCAGCTCCCGTGACGTGCACTGCTCTGCAGCCCAGCACATATCTTGACTGCTTCAGCCTCTGTTGCCTGCTGCTTAGCACAAGCCAGGGAATGGGGAGGGGCTGAGTGGCCCAGCTGTTCCAGATGCAGCTCATTGGTTAGCCCCCCTGGTGTGTGTCTCCAGCTGTTTATGTCCACTGACCATGGCTTGAAGCTCTCTTCTGACCACTCCTACTTTTGTAGAAGTCTTCTCCTACATGTGGCCCAGGCTTCGGCTTCCTTTAGTTCACTCCTACCCCTAGTCATTTGATCTTGTCTGCTTCCCAGAATTCCTGAAATTTTCTAGACTTCTGATGGTCTTTTCTTGTTTTCCCATGCATTTGTGATTCATATTTGTTGAATTTAAATGTTGCTGTCTCAGGAGAGTTTCCCTAACCACCCAGCTTGAAGTCAGCTTCCCGGTTACTTTCTATCTCCTCTCTCCAGTGTATTTTCATTGCAGCATTCGTCTCTACTTGATATTTATCTTTTGTTGGAATTTCCAGACCCGAATTAGGAGCCTTATATGTTCTATTTACTGCTGTATCCCAAATGGTTAGAACAGCACTTGGTAGATAGTAGACATTCGGTATATGCTGGTTGAATTATGTGACTTTATCTTTTTAAAACAACAACATTTGATATCATGTCTGACTTGAATCTCACGAATTTTCGATTTCATACCAGGAACCAGGCTTAGCAAATATTCTATGTTAACCTCTCTGTTCAAGACAAAATTTTTATTAACCAAATAGGTTGCCTTTGGAGCCTCCCCCTCCCCCGCCCCGCCAAAAAAAGCTATACATTAATCCATGTACTAATATAAAATGTAAATGTCCTAACCCCCAGTACGTCAATCCACGTGTTATTAAAGCAGAACTTTGGGGGAGTGGGGGGGCCTTTGATTTTTCTAAGAACAACATTACAAAATGACCAGAAGAGGCCAGACATATATTTGCCTATACTTTCTGTAACTGTGTGGGATACAGTCTATTCTCAGGTAAATCTTAAGTTGAAATACATCATATTCGTATGCTACATTATTACAGAGCTCATGTAGAGCAAACTCAAATTGCCTTACATAGATTCCAACCTCTTAAATTAGGTCAAGGCTTTATTCTGGTGAATAAGATTTTCACTTTTGTTCCTGCATCTCTTAGAGTAAATTTTGTAACTCTAGTCAGCTGACCAGCTGATACATGATAGTGATAAACAGTTTTTCAGTTTAAAACATTGTTTTAAGGGCCAATCCCTTAATTAAACATTAAGTTGGAAAATCAGAAAAATCCACCTAGGTGTAGTCAGGTTTGCTGCTCATGTAATAACTTCATGAAAGAAAGTCCCATGCCTCAGCAAGTTTTGAGTAGGCCTCTACTATTAAATATGTTATTTTTTCAGTCCCCATGTAATTAACGTTACACAATTTTCTATGGAAGTATCAAATTTATTCCCACACTTTTGCTTGGAAGTGTTTTATCTTGAAAGCAAAGAGGAAGTCACTTTATAGAAAACAATTTATTTCTACTGTGAAACAGTATTTGTACACATGCCATCTGGAAATCTACTGTAGGTTATTTAAATTCCTGCCATCAAGAGAGTGCACTTAAACCTTACAGGATTAACCTATCACCTTTATAATTCTGATGGGAATTATTTTAATTTTGTCCTACTTTTAATTATTTAGGCAAAGATGCAATTTACACAATTCCAGTAAAAAACATTCTTGCTGTGGAAAAACTAGAAGAGAGCTCTTTCAACAAGAAAAATGTAAGTTACACAAATAAGTATTTAAAGTTTTTCTAAAAAACTGCATATTATTAGCAGTGTAAAATTTTTAAAATTTTAATATTTACTGTTAATTGGTAACAGGTTATAAATTGCTGGCTAAAACTCTTGTCAGTTGATACCTTATACAGTCTGCCTAGCCTAGTTATTAAAGGTGCTTTTCTTAGTAACTCCCTATTATCAAACTTCTCAATCAGACAGTCAAGTCTCTAAGTAATATGTCCCCAACCTATCTGGCCAGCCTTATCTTCTGCTACCACTTAGTATACACTCAAGCCAAGCAAGATGATTTCCGGTTCCTGAATATTTTTCCACTGTTTAGTGCTTATTTTTCCATTACTCATACTTTTTCTTACACTCAAAATCCCTTCTCTATTCCTGTTTATCTGATAGTTCATTCCTTTGGACATGTGTCACTTTTTAAAATTATACTCTCTTGTACTGTTAAGTAAAATGTGACTCAGTATTGTCCTGAGGACTGACTTGCTTGAAAAATAACAGTTGATAAGACACTTCAGCAGCAGTTATTTAGCCAAGCCAAGTAGGTTTTTGTTATGTACTTTCTTCCTGTTTTATACTGTGTTGGCTTTTAGACTGTCACTAACTTTTTATCTTAATTGTCTGTGAAGATGTTCCAAGTAATACATACGGAGAAACCCCTCTATGTCCAGGCAAATAATTGTGTAGAAGCTAACGAGTGGATAGATGTACTCCGCAGGGTGAGCCGATGCAACCAGAACAGGCTCAGTTTTTATCATCCCTCCGTGTACCTGAATGGAAACTGGCTCTGCTGTCAGGAGGCCAGTGAAAACACTCTCGGCTGTAAGCCATCTACTGCGTAAGTGTCTTTCTGATGAAAAGGCAATGTTCTCAAAATGTGGTATATGCATACAATGGAGTATTACTCGGCCATAAAAGGGAATGAAGTACTGAGGCATGCTATTGCACAAATGAACCTTGCAAACATTATGTTAAGTGAAGGAAGCCAGACACAGGGGCCGCATAGTATATGATTACATTTATGTGAAACGTCCAAAAGAGGTGAATTCATAGAAACAGATAGCTTAGTGGTTGTCAGGGACTAGGGAGAGGAGGAATGGGAGTGACTGCTAGTGGGCATGTGTTTTCTTTTTGGAGTGATGAAAATGTTTGAAATTAATAGTAGTTGAACAAGTCTGTGTGTATATACTAAAAACCACTGAGTTACACACTTTTAAAGGGTGAATTTTATAGTATGTAAAATAAAGCTGTTATTTTAAAAAAAAAAAAAACAAAGACAATGTTTAAAAATATACAAACCTGAGCAAGATATCAGGGGAGAAAGGCTTAGCATTCTTTTTCTAATTGTATGAACAGTCATTGTAGCCCAGTAGACTTAAGTAATAATGTATTCCTTTTGATTTGAAGCTAGGTTATGAAAATAGTTTTACTTTAAAATGCTACTCCCTGTAATTACAGTTACATAATGACCAAACCTCTCTTAGCCCCATTTCATTTAACTCTCAAATGAAGCTAGATTTCTGGAGAACCTTCTGCAGAATTCTGTGATTCTGTATTTAGTATCAGTCCATCAGAAGTCTTCGACATGTTACAAAGTAAAAATTCTCCAATGTCTTTAATTTCATTTTTACTGTAGAGGTGTCCCTGCAGACATCCGAATAGATATTGATGAAGACAGAGAAACAGAAAGAATTTATTCCCTTTTTACCCTCAGTATGCTTAAGCTGCAGAAAATGGAAGGTAAATATACAATTATTCTATTTTTATATAACCATGGTCCTCCATTAGTAATACCTGAAGTATTGATTTGCCATTATCAAGTTGAAAGTTATCATGGATTTACTAAAATATTACTTATATGAAAATTGGCAAACCCCTACAGGGGGGCTTTTTTTTTCTTTTTTTTTTTTAGGCGAAGGTTTACAGAACAAATATTTTCTCATTAAACAGTCATTACACATATTGTTTTATGACATTGGTTAACAACCCCATGACATGTCAACCCTCTCCCTTCTCAACCTTTTTTTTTTTTTGGTGAAAATATACGTAGCCAAAGATACACAATTTCAGAAATTTCTACATGCACAGTTCAGTGACATCGATTACGTTCTTCTAGTTGTGCTGCTGTTCCCACTTTAGACTGAGGTTTACAAAACAAAATAGTTTCTCATTAAACGGTTAGTACACATGTTGCCCTGTAACAGTGGTTAACAACCCCACTACATGTCAACACTGTCCTTACTCAACCTTGGGTTCCCTATCACCAGCTTTCCTGTCCTACAGGGGGCATTTTTAATAAAAAGATACTCTGAAAAAAATACTGCTTTTATAAATGTGATAATCCTAATTAATAAAGTCTGTGTTTTGGTTATCTGTGTGTTGTCAAGGGAAATCTTCCCATCTTAGGACACTTGGAAGATTGTTATTTATACTATGAATTACATTTGTGGAATTTAGTTGTCTGATTGGAGATTTTGTTGCTATTTATAGAGGCTTGTGGAACTATAGCAGTCTATCAGGGACCTCAGAAAGAGCCTGATGATTACTCTAACTTTGTCATCGAGGATTCTGTAACAACCTTTAAGACAATTCAGCAAATAAAAAGCATCATAGAGAAGCTGAGTGAACCTCATGAAAAGTATAGGAAGAAAAGATCAAGTAGTGCAAAATATGGAAGCAAGTAAGTATTTCTAAGACACCATAAGCATATTTTTAAGCATAGTTTAGGGTGGCCTCTGCGGTTGTGTGCTCACGCCTGGAATGCATGCCTCTTGCTTACCTTCACCATGGAAGACCTAGCTCAGAGCCGTGCTCTCATGCTGGAGCTTCCCTGGCCACTCACACTCAAAGTGACCCCTGTCTTCTTCAGATCTGGTATCATTTCATTGTGTTGCTGCTATACTTCATTACCGCTTTTAAAGTTATATTCAGTTTTAGTTCATTCCTTGAATCCTTACGTAGCTTTTTGTTTTTACTAGTCCTCATCCTTTCTTATTACAGCGACTTATACATTGTTGCATTGTAGTTACTGTTGTTGTTAGGCACCATGGAGTCAATCCTGACTCCTACCATAGTAAGGACTAAAAAAATCAGCTGTGGAAGTGCAGGAAGTATTTTATAGTTCATTTTTTGGATCCTTCTCAGAGGTAGATGGATAGCAACAGAACAACTAACATTTACTAGGAGCTTACTGTATCACTGGGCAGTATGCATAGCCCTGGTGGTGTAGTGGTTAAGAGCTCCGGCTGTTAACCAAAAGGTCGGCAGTTCGAATCCACCAGCCACTCCTTGGGTACCCTATGGGGCAGCTCTACTCTGTCCTACAGGGTCGCTGTGACTCAGAATTGACAGCAGTGGGTTTGGTTTTTTTTTCCACATCCGTATCACTTAGATTGCTTTCAGCAGCAAGTCACGGAAAATCTCAATAGAAGTGGCTTAAACAATAGGAGCTATTTTAATCTCACAAAATACGTCCTAACTTCTAGGGTTGATATATTCAGCAGCTCAACACTGTCATTGAGGATCGTCCTTTCATTCAGCCATCCTCAACAAGATGACCTCTGTCTCCGTAGGTTGACGCTCATGGTCATAGGTGGGCTGCAGTCCTTCAGAGCCTCTCATTTTCTAGGACAGTGTCCAGAGGCAGAACAAGGCTATTTCTTCTGCCCAACACTAGAACAAAATCAGGGTTCTCTTTGCAAAGAAGTTGATAGAGAGGTAATGGTTCGTGGACTGGCAAATAACAGTGTTTGCCACAGTGTGCGTTTTCTCATTAATCCCTCACAACAGCCCAACATGTTTTTATCCCCATTTTACAGCTAGAGAAATTGAGGCTCAGGAGGGTTAAGTGCCTTGCCAGAGGTCACACAGCTGACGAGTGAAGGGGCTCTGAATCCTGCTGCAGCCGCTTTAAATGTTATTTGAAAACTGTGAATTAATAATGATATCATTGGTATATGATCAACAAAAATCAATTATACATAAACATAAATATTTATGTCCTCCCTAGATAAAAGGGCTCAGTACGTTAGAAAGGTTATTGTAAGTATCCTAGCCTGTCTTCTCTGTACTCACTCAATTATTTCTTTCAACAGTAGTAATCCAGTTTTCTTGGAGCCCCAGAAAGTTTCCATATGAGGTCCGAGCCAGTGCTTGACCACCCTTCTTAAATAGTACCCCCTTCCCCCTGTACCTGGAGGCCTGGTGGCGCAGTAGTTAAGAGCTTGGCTGCTAACCAAAAGGTCAGCAGCTTGAACCCACCAGCTGCTCCTTGGAAAGCCTGTGGGGCAGTTCTACTCTGTCTCATAGGGTTGCTATGAGTCGGAATCAACTCAACGGCAATGAGTCTTTTCCCCCTGTACACACACACATACACAAGGCTTTATTTTTCTCTATTTAAAAAAGTACTGACCTCTGATGTACTAAATACATGTTTATTTTATTTTCCCTCTACCAGAATGTAAGTTCCATGAGGGCAGGGATTTTGTCTGTTTTGCTCACTGTTGTATCCCTAGCTTTTAGAACAGTGCCAGTCATTAAATAGGTGGTCAGTAAATACTTGTTAAATTAGTGAAGCAAGACTCAGCATGAGATTATCAAGGAAAAGTATAGATTTTATATTTGTCACTTTTTAAAAATCTTATATTTTTCAACTTTTGAAAAATGATTTTCTTTTATTGTTTTCTAGGGAAAATCCAATTGTTGGGAAAGCATCGTAAGAGTTTCACCAATTGATTCAGAAGAACTGGAAAATACTATTTTTGTTGGAATTTTTTAATTCATCATATATTTTGTCCATAGTATTTAAGAAGGAACATTGGCCCTAATGTCACCTGTGTTCACATTGTATTTAATATTTAATAATTGAAATTAACTGTTTGGGAATCCTGGTATTAATGTTTTACTAGAGAATTTGAAACTCAAGATTCCCTTCATATCTTATGTGTCCAAAGCCATGTTTCTGCAGCTTCTTTTTAATAGAAAGAAAATCCCTAAAGAAGATTTTAAAGAAGCTTTGTAACAAAGGGAGAACTCCTCCATAGCAAGAAACCATCTCTTCTTGTAACACTCCATGTTCTGTGGACTTGTTTTCACTACCATTAGTGCCTGCTCTCTACTGCCAGCTTTGAGTTTTATTAGAAAACCCCAATCCAGGGTAGTTCAGAGCTTCCCATTTAGTTCACCTAGACCCTCCCCACTTTGAGAAAGAAAAGAATACATATATATGTATATATTTTTTTCCTTTGGTCCATTAATCATTACAGGTTATATTAGGGACAGTGACAGAAACTTTAGAAAACTGCCTGAGCATCCTTGAAAGTTGGTAGATCCGTTTGCCTATTTACAGATGTAAACAGGACTCAGATAGGAGGAATCAGGGAATCTGTGCTGTCGTGTACATCTTGTTTACATTTGGGATGCACGATGGCAGATGAAATAAAATGAGATCACTAAATTCTTTTTCATTGTTTTGAAGATCAGGTACTCATTTTCTTGATTTGAGAGTTCAGGTTAACATGACTTCTAAGGACATCTCTTCTGAAAAAGCAAAGAAAGTGAACAGTGAAAGACAGTGGTGGGAGAATCACCTGACTCCACCGGCCATTTTGTGTTCTCATGAGGGCCATTATCACGATGCCCTCCTCATAGTGTTAGGTTGTGACCTATCTCAAGAACAGTCACTCAGCGCACTTTAATAATCTGGACTGCCCCAGGTTATACTTTAGATACTCCGTGGTATCTAATCTTTATGATCAGTTGAATGATCAGTGTTTAAGTATAAAAATAATGCTTTCCGGAAAATGTTTATACTTCTTCATTGCTGTTTCCTTGTTGGCTGCTAGCCAAATGGAATTTGGGTAAGCAGCTATTTGAATCCTATTTTTCCCTAATAATTTACTTTTGTCCTAAAAACCCGTAACTGTAAATAAGCAGTCGAAGCAAGGTGCCATCTTGAAGTTAAAGACAGATACGCTTTGTTTCATCAGTATTAAAAACCATGGTACTTTGCTTTTGTCCTTTTTTAATTCAAAACAACATTTTCTAAATGTGGTACTTTGATTCTGGAGTATTTACACATGTTTCTGTTTAAAACTGTGACTTATTCATGTACATCTAGCTAGTAGTGCTTTTTTTGTTTCCTTGAGCATAAGCTATATTTCAAATATACTTTGGCAGTATGTTATTGGTGGATGATTATTCTTAAATTATATTGTCATTTGGTAATTATTTTTAAAGACCATTTGACATACAATCAAAATTGTTCCATAAATGATTATAACTGAGCAATGAAGTTCTCTAAATGACTTGTAAAAATCAATTGGTTAAGAATCAGTACTAGTCTGCATTATGGTTGGTTATCACTCTTGGCCAATTTTAAAGATAAGTTTGAAAGAGTCCAGATTGCATGAACTGCACTGATTTGCAAATTAATTTAAATAGTGAAAGAATTTAGCCATTTAATAAATTTCTCCATCTTGAATTTCATTCAGATTAAAATTTCCTTTTTAAGAATCTCTAAAGTGTTCTATCTGAAAAGGACATGAAGAGTATTGCCAGGTACCACTCAGTTTTTAGTAGCTTTTATTCTGCTACTTTTTAAATATTCTTCTAATATTTCTCATATATAATCCCCATTAGGATTGTTTAAGATGACAGTTTCAAAGGGACCAAGGCTGTGTATATACATAACTCTGGATTTGAAGGGAAGAGTTCAGTCATTTAGTTACTTTCTTCACATGACACTTTTAGCCAGTTTAACTGGAATTAACCAGTTCAGCACAGCCTAACAGGGAGTAATGTGAAATTAAATTATTTTTCTTTGAAAGTCTTCTGAAATGAGAGACTGTGTCAGGAGGACCCTAAGATACCCAAGGTACTTGTTTCCAGGGGCCTCATTCCTCTGCCATTATTCATGAGTACTTTTTTATTACCTGATCCTCTTTTATCTGCTTTTTTCTTATGGCAGCTCACTTCACCCTAAAAACCTGAAACCCCAGGAAGGGGAAAAGAAGATAATATGAGGAAACTCTTGCCATAAGTGCTAGTTCTGGGTCTTAGTTTAGCCATTTCCATCTGTTGAAAGTGTGGTCATCTGTTGCTGGTTTTGTTGTTATTGTTTGTTTTGTTTTTTGTTTAGCTTTGTTTTGTTTTTTAATATGATAATGGGCAGTAGCAAAGATTTATAATCCCGGGAATATAATTTATCAAATTGAACTATTTCATTTGCCAAAGAAAATGTGTTTTTAATATCATGGATAATGGTTAAGTGTCAAAACTAGGCTTGCTTTTTCACACAAAAGAAGGTGACGAATGATGTGACTTTTGTTTCTGTTTCTGAAGCCTAATCTCATTTATCGGAAAAGCTCATTCATGCCAGATTTTAAAAAACAGATTTTTTTTTTTTAAGTGAAAGCACCTTTAATTTGCTCTAACGGTACATCCTATAAAGACAGAATGCTACAGAACCTTTTAGGCGTCCTTACAGTATGTGAAAAATACAGGACTCATTCTGGAGTTAAATTGCCAGACTAGATTGATATTATCTGCTTCCATTTTGATTAACTTAGAAATGAATATGTTGCTAGTAAATATTGGTTTTTACAGTGTCTAGTTTGAATATGTAAGTTATCAAAACTTAATGTAGTGAATTTGTGTAACTGTTGTATTGTCGAGAATGTATTTTTATTTAAATTTTATTTTCTTATCAAGAGTGTTATAAAAATTAAAAACTTTTGTAACTGTCACTTGGAAATAACTGAAATAAATTACAACAACCCTGTCTATTCTTTGTGGGATCCTGCTTTCTTAACTGATTTAGGAATTTCTTCAAAAAGTTGGTTAAAATTATCATACCTTGGCTACTAGTAAGGGTATACTGGTAGTGAGAAGTCACCAGTAACAAAGAAGAATTGAAGCAATATGGAAAGGGCTAAGTGTGCTTCTCTTGCCCTTAACTATGCCAATTTTTGATGGACCATGGCCCTTCTGTGTTCAGTCATCCATTCAGCAGATTGTATTGAGGACCTATGGTGTGTAGCACAGTGCAGACTGCCTTGTCATTCCAGAGAGCCACACACGTCCCATGTTCTCCTATCTGGGTACACAATTTAGAGCTGAGGGTTTCAGCCTGTGTTTGACTTTACGAAGAATTCCATTTTCTACTCTTCTCAAAAAAAAAAAAAAAAAAAACAGCATCAGCAGAGCCTCTAGTTACTCAAGCTTTAGTCCAACATGGAAGCCACCGGAGGGTTTTGAGCAGCAAAGTCTCATGATCAGTTTAACTTTTTTAGATTGCTCTGACTGCCGTGTTGAGAACAGTCTCAGGGTGGGCATAGACGGAAGTGGGGAGACTAGGCGAGAGGCTAGTGTGCTAATCAGGTGAGAGATGGTGGTGGCTGCGTCGTGGGTGTTAGCACAGAGAGTGGTAAGAAGTGGTCAGATTCTGGTTATGTGTAGTGGCAGAACCAACAGAATTTGTTGACAGATGGGTCTTAGGCTGGGTACTCTAGAGAAGCAAAACCACTAAAGCATATAAATACATAGGGAGATTTATATCAAGAAGTGGCTCATGCAGTTGTAGACACTGCAATGTCCCAGGTCCATGGGTCAGGCTGGAGGCTTCTCCTGATTAACATAGCCGCAGGGGCTGGTGAACCCAAGATCGGCAGGTCAGAGAGCAGGGCTGTTGCTCACAGGCTGTGAAGATTAACAAATCCCAAGGTTGGTAGGCAAGACTGCAGGAAAGCTGCTAGCTCAAGTCCCAAGAACCAGAGGTCCAATGAACAGGAGCCAGCTGCAGGATCCAGAGTGAGCAAAAGCCCACGAGTCCTGCCAGAATGTCCACTTATATTCGATGCAGGCCACATGCCTAAGGAAATGCCCTTTCAACTGACTGGCTGTTCACAGCAGATCCCATCATGAAGGTGATCATGTATCAAATCTCAGCATGGAAGTGATCACATCGTATGACTGCCAAACCACGAGAATCATGGCCCAGCCAAGTTGACACACAATTTTAACCGTCACAGATGGAGTGAAGGAGAAAGCAAGGAGTCTAGGAAGATCTAGTAACCTACGCAACTGGAAGAATGGAGAGGTCGTTTACTGAGATGGGAACGTTACAGGAGGAGCAGGTTTGTATGTGTTCTAGCTATGTCCATGTTAATGATGCCTGGAGGCTGGCCCATTTAAATCACTTAGGAAGTCCCAGCACATATTTTATCTAGTCTGATAGTCATTTACCATATCTTCCTCACTAGATTGTAAATCCTGACTCACAGTGACCCATAGGATTTCCAAGGAGCGGCTGGTACATTGGAACTGCTGAACTTTTGGTTAGCAGCCAAGCTCTTAACCACTGTGCCACCAGAGCTCCGATTCCAAGTACAGGGAGAGGCTTTATTGTACCACACAGCCTTTTGCCCCTGGAAGAGGAATGCTCAATAAATATTTCATGAATGAATGACATGCCTGCAGCTAATGGTGGAGTAGCAAGGGGCTTGGTTGAAAATCTTGACCTAATTAGAAACTACCTTTAGATCATGGTCAAATAATTCCTTTGGGTTTTGGTTTCCCAATATGTGTAAAATTTAAAAGTTTATATCTTCAGGAAAAAGCTGGGCGCCTCTGCTAGACCAAGATCCCTTAAGATGCTGCCCTCAAGTTGCTCATGGTCAAGCTGGGGACTGGGAGAGAGTGATCGGAGGATTTTGAACTTGCAGAAAAACAGACAACCCCTAGGGTTTTTTTTTGCTTTTTTTTTTTGTCTCAATATTTGGCAATGTCTGGAAACATTTTTGTCACAGCTGGGGAGTTACTACTGGCATCTAGTGGGTAGAGGCCAGGGATTCTGGTAAACATCCTACAGTGCACAGGACAGCCCCCATGGCAGAGTCATTGGGCCCAAAATGTCAGTAATGCTGAGGTTGAGAAACTCTGTCTTAGGAAGGCCAGAAGCCAGTGCTAGCTACCCTTCTCTGCCTGGAATCCTAGCTGTGTTCCATAGAATGGGGAGGTGGTATAGCAGTGGTTAAGAGCACAGACCTGGCAACACAGACCAGGTGCCAGTGACCAACTGAGTGGCCTTGGCCAGGTTACATAACCTCTCCAAACCCAGTTTCTCCAAGTGTAAAATGGAAAGGATAACCTTATCTGACCTGCAGGATTGGTGTGCGAAAAAAAGTCACACAGCTTAAGGCTTGGAGTGCACAAACTAGACATTATCTTAAAGTTTTTTGAAAGCCTGGCCTTTGCACCATCAGTGGAATCCAGGTCTTTCTCCTGAGACATAGGAACTTGGTGAATTCTGGGCTGGTGAGGAACACCTCTCAGACCTGAGAGCTGGAGTTGGTAGGCTCGGGCTTGGCTCCTTGCCGTCATGTCCTCGTGGGCAAGTCACCTGCAGACACCAGTCTCCATTCCTTTGTCTGTAAAATGGAGACAGAGGTCCCCCCACTTCCTCATGGGGTTCTCTGGTCAGTGGTAAAGGTTGACACCTGTGATGGGGTGGTGACTATTCCTGGGCCCTAAATCTAAGCCCATGCATGGGGCCACCCACTCTTGTTATCTGCTCTTTTCCATTGAAAACATAATGGGCAAAGAGTTTGGCTTCATCGAGGCACCAGATTAGCTGAGAGAGGCTTCTGTGCCCCCTTAAATGCTACTAAACAGAAGAGATTATCTGCCTGGGCTGCATCAGGAGCAGTACTGCCTCAGGGTAGGAGAATGGCCCCCTCAGTTCTTCAGGTCCAAGAACCTTCACTGTTTGACTTGCCAAGTTCTAAGAATCATCTTTTCAGAGCATCTTCTACCCTTTTTCAAATCCCATGTCATCTGAACTTTCATGACCTGCAGAGAGTGAGCCTGAGCCACCCTGCTGGTCATGCCTGGGTCTTCCTTGATGCTCGCCCCCACTCCCACCCCCCAACAGACAGACCAAGGTCCAGATCACCAGCTAGAGGGCAAGATTCTGGTGCTAGTCACTGGGGTCAAAGTGGACCACAGTTCTAGAAGCTGGAATGGGGCTGGGAGACATTAATAGGAGTTTTATGAACACTTTCTTACATAATCTTCACAACAGTTCTGACACCGAGGAAGAATCTGCCCTCAGACGAAGTAACCTTCCCAAGGAGGAGGGTGTGGACCTAGGACCGTCAACTCCTCAGGCCAGAGGACGAACTGGATAGTAGAAGTGCAAGGCTTAAAAGAACTTGAAAGGAGACCAGTGCGTGCCTGGGTGCCAGCGAGTTCAGATCCCACTGAGGGGCAAGCGGCAGAACCTCAGGATGCAGCCAGGTCCACCGGCCAGCCGCCAAATGCAGAGGCAGGGTTAGGGGTGGGAGGAGGAACCTGGGAGCTGGATGAGGAAACAGGAAGTGGTGTGGGCAGGTCCCTGGGGAGGTCTGACCTACAGCCCACCTGGAAGCCACCACGCCCAACTCCAGACAACACCAGGAGAGTGTTATCTGCAATCAGAATGGCCCCAGGGGAAAGCGTGGAAGAAGGCCACAGTAAGGGGGGTCCCTCAGATGTTTGCAAGTAGAGAGGTAGGGCCAGGGCCCAGGGAGACAGGTGGGCCATGGTGGCAGCACCAGAGCCTGTGGCCCTGAGGTAAACCTGAGCGTGCCCTGAGAACTGCCCAACGCTTCTGAGAGCCAGTTGCTTGCTAGGCCCACACCAAGTACCCACCACATGCCAGGCACTGTGCCAAGCCCAGATGGGAGTGACCCCTGGCCTCCCAAACTTGGATGCCACCTCTGCCTTCATTTCCCACACAGCTCAGCTGTGCAGTGTGGCCACCTGACAAGCCCTCTTGCATCATGTCTCCAGCTCAGTGGCCTCCCCTGCAAAGGTACCTGCTTCCAACGTCTCTTTCACTGACAGCCTCCCACCTGGCCTGCAGACGCCTTCTCAGGCAGCCCGGACAATGAGGGTCCACGGCCCAGGCTTCAGTCAGCTCAGTCCCGGGGACTGGGGTCAGACACCCTGAAATTAAAGGCCTTTCTCCCGATGGAGCCCGCAGGTCCAGCCAGCACTAGAACCCAGGATAAAGCTCCAAGCAGAGTCGTTGCCAGGGAGAGACCACACCTGGGTACCTCTCAGGAGGCTAGCAGATGCTAGACAGACTCCTGGCCCCTTGAGACAATCCTCTTTCACCCAAGGCCGGAAATTGGCCAGTGGGGCCTTTCTTGTTCCTCCCTACTTAAGCGCAAATCCCTGGAGCAGGAAAGGGTCTCTTCTCAGGCCTCTGCAATCCAGTTCCCCAGCTGTGAGTTCACATTTCAGGGAGCTTTGGAAAGAGAAACATTAGACTAGCAGTTCTCAAAGTGAGGTCCTGGGACCAGCAGCACCACCTGGGAACTTGAGAGAAATGCAAGTTCTCAGACCCCATCCTAGACCTACCAAGTCAGCAACTCAGTTTGACCAAGCCCTCCAGATGATTCTGATGGTCGCTCAGGTTGGAGAACCCGGCATTTGCTGTTTGTGAACCATTTCTGGAAATGTCATCAGGTGCTGAGAGTGTGTGTGGGTCACACCTGACACCTGCTAAAGACAAGAAGCCAGCCTCCATGTCTGGGGGCCAAAGGCGATTCCTGGAAGCACCAGGTCATCCCCCAAGGCTCTTCTGACTTACTGTAAGTGTTAATATTGGGGGGCCGAAGGGGGAAAGCCCAAAGCTGAATCAAAGTGGCATGGAGCCATCAGAGATAAAAAATTAAAGTTCCCAAAATATTATTGTTGGGAGTACTTAGGAAGGCTCTAGTGTGGTGCCTTTTGCACAAATATTGTGAGTCACAATAACTGTGTTTCTCTTCTTCTTCCTTGGGCAAATAAGGAAACATCTGTGGGGGTGCTGATATTTATTTATTTTTGGATGAGCATCGTAATAGTGGAAATATTTCGTACCTGATTATAGAACCCTGGAGCTAAAGCACTGCCCCTGAGGGGGAGTGAGGATTTAACTGGTAAATAATATAGACATTTCTGTCCAATTAAGAAGACCTCAACAAGGAAACTCTTGTTTTAAGTGACATCACTCCAGGCTGCTTCTCAGTAAAACACAAGTTCAGGCCAGTGGGAAAGGAGGGCAGTGCTGGTGGAGAGGGGGTGCCGGGCCCAGCAGTCTCAGATGATGCCATCTTTTCTGTGCCTCAGTTTCCTCTTGGTTCTCTGCCTCACAGGAGAGCTAAGAAGCCAG